TGGAATTTGTCCCTGGTGGATCAATATCATCACTTTTGGGGAAATTTGGAGCCTTCCCTGAAGCAGTAAGTTATTCTATATTCTACTTTAATCATCCTAGCGTCAGAGTATCGAGTGTCTAATCCTTTATACCTACTGTATATAGGTTATAAGAACATATACCAAACAGTTATTACTGGGACTGGAATACTTGCACAAGAATGGTATCATGCACAGGGACATTAAGGTCGGTGTTAGTTATGATCATTATTATTTGCAGACAATTTTCTCATTCCCCTGTGTCAGTTATAAATATGTCGTGTCTCTTGTATTCTATTGCAGGGGGCGAATATTCTTGTAGATAACAAGGGATGCATTAAGCTTGCTGATTTTGGTGCATCGAAACAGGTTGTCGAGCTGGTAAAGTCAACGATCCTTGACTTTTATTTGGTTTGAAAGCTATCTGCCTTCTGATCAAGATTTCATTGTTGTAGGCTACAATTTCAGGTGCAAAGTCTATGAAGGGTACTCCATATTGGATGGCTCCTGAAGTAATTTTGCAGACTGGGCATAGTTTGTAAGAACTGACTGAAGTCAAACTCTACTTAGAATCTACATTCTCTTCGGGATATTTGATATTAACCATTAACTGCTAAATGTTGATTTCAATTTTTTTTTTTTTGACAAAAAATTTCGAAGCAAATATATTTTTAGTCAATAAAGAGGGAGCTCAATTATGACCGAATTTTGATAGTTGTTCTTTTAGAGAATCAAATATGTAGAAAACAAATAATTGGTCTTATGTATCCTTGCCTTTGACTAAATATTAATTTGATGAGATGGATGATCGTAAGTATGTGATAATTATTCCTAGCTCTGCGGATATATGGAGTGTTGGATGCACTGTTATTGAGATGGCTACAGGAAAGCCTCCTTGGAGCCAACAGTATCAAGAGGTATCTTATTACTTGAAGATGTTTGAATGGTGGTGGATTAAATTATTCTTGTAAAGTAAACTAACAATACATTTCTTTTAGGTTGCTGTTCTTTTTCATATTGGCACAACAAAGTCTCATCCACCAATCCCTGAGCAGCTTTCAGTTGAAGCTAAAGATTTTCTGTTGAAATGTTTGCAGAAGTACGTTTCATTTCTTTGCAATTCGAATCCTGATCTTAAGAAAACTAATCATAAGTTAACAATGGTCCAACTTTGAGATTCGTTTGAAATATTTTTCTTTAGCTTCTCTTTGACACTATTTCTTATGGAAAGTCAAATTGATGTGGGCCAAATTGCAGGGAACCCAACTTAAGACTAGCTGCATCTGAACTCCTGAAGGTGATTTTTTACTTGATTAATATTTTTGTTTTACTCGACAAGAACAAATTGTCAGATGCATAGACTGACAGAAATAGTGCCAAAGGAGCGATTGTTTTAACTATCATCTAACCATCCGGCTTTGTTGCGTGCAGCATCCGTTTGTTACTGGGGAGGACCCAGAATCTCTACTTGTATCACGTGATGCATGCACGGTTAGAGGATTAAAGAATCAGAATAATTTATTCATGATTATTTGTCTTCCTGTTTGTAACGGTAAATTTGCCATCATCAGGAGCCCTTGGAAACCCATTCACTTTTATATACTCCAAACCTTGAAATGAGGTGAATTTAATAATTCGGCGACTAGAAGAATTGTGCATTCACCTGCTTGCAATATTAAAGTTTTTCACACTTTTTTTTCTTGACAGCAAAACTCCAACGCATCCTGGATCAAGTGATATTTGTAATTTGGATAGTCTGAGCTGCTCAAAACTATACACTGCAAACAAACTAGAAAATGATACGTGGGGAACAAACAACAGTGATAATGAAATGTGTCAGATTGATGGCAATGATGATTTTATGTTAGATGAAGTAAAACTCAGGTCTTCTATGATATCTGGGAATTTCAAGGTGAGGAAAATGTTTTTTCTTCAATGTTTGGATCCATCTTTAGTTCTCCGTCCAGAGAGCTCTGGAAGTTAACTTCACTCTTTATTTCTTTCTTTCTTCTGGGTGGGTGGGTGTGGGTTATATAGAGTTATAACCCAATCTGTGAGCCGTCGGATGATGAGGACTGCAAATTTGATCAAAGTTCAGTAGTAAAGCAAGGAAGCGATTTAGATGAGCAAATTCTTGCACCTGGCAGCTATTCTGGAGTTTTTGATGATGACCAAAACTTCTCATTTCCTAGTGGACGATCACTTTCTGAAGATGAGGATGAGCTTACTGAATCAAAAATTAAAGCATTCTTGGATAAGAAGGTTTGGATTTTCAGTTTGAAATAGCAACTAGTTCGCCTTTCTAATTATCCCCTTCTCTGCAGTTTTATTAAATGAACCTGTTTGATCTAAATTGTTGTACATGATTTCAATGCCTCAGGCTCTTGAATTGAAGAAACTGCAGTCACCACTATATGAGGAGTTTTACAATAGTTTGAATGGATCCTGCTCTCCAGTTTTTGTAGAGAGTAAACAAGATGAAACTACTCCTAAATACTTGAAATTGCCCCCAAAAAGTCGGTCACCAAGTCGAAGTCCCGGTCATCTATCCCCAGCATTCGATGCCTTCGGCACTGGGACTCCAGGGAGTGATAGCAGCAGCAGGGGTAACGCAAATGATCAGAGGTCACAACTCAATGATTGGAAAGGACTTCTAGTTGATGGTCAGCCCGAAGCTGGTAGTCCGAGGTTTGAACTTTTGGATGTTCTTTTAGCAGGCTTAGTATCATTTACATCTGTAGCATTCTTGATATCTGGGTGAGTAACGTGTTTTCTCATCTAGCAGTAAACACTACTCTGAAATACAGAGGAAGTGGAAAGAAGAGCTTGATCAAGAGCTTGAGAGGAAACGAGGTAGATAACTATTTTTTACGCTTCTTAAATAAGAAGATAGCAATCATACGACCAACGCGTTTATAGGAGTCCGGGAAATATATGATAGATATATTTGATAAAGCTATATATAGTAAACTGAAACCATATATATACCCCTTAAGTAGTGCTTTGAAGATGTACTTTCTCTATTCTCTGTATTTCTCTGTACGAAGTCATCAATACAAATTCTTTAGCCAATATTCTTCCTTGCATTTTCTTTTTCCTATTTCTTTGTGTTCATCAAGTGTGTGCGTTGGGTTGTGCGATCCTAACAATTATTACATATGACTATGCAACTCTCTTGGTTACAGAGATGATGCGTCAAGCTGGCACGGGAGGCAAAACATCATCTCCAAAGGATAAAGCCATCGGCAGGCCGAGAGAGCGAACACGATTTGCATCTCCATTCCGGTAGATATCTACATTTCATTTCGTCTTTACACAGTATGTATTCTACCATGGCAATATGCATGATGTGACGAACTCTTGACAGGGACGACGCGTCGGGTGCAGGGAGGGAAAACAGGAAAAATTCATCTCCCGAGGAAGTGAGGAAAGATTAGCATAGCTTCAAACTACTTCCGCTGAGTTTATCTTCTCATTTGTCCTTCCCTCTGCAGTCCTTGTGGAGTGTATGAAGTGACGAAGCCCCCTTGCTGGGTAAGAAGCATGATCAGATTCTCAATGAAAGGGGAAAAAAGAGGACAAAATGAGGTATTTGCTAAGTCACCTGTCTTTGTTCTTTGTTCTTATTGATTTGGTTGGGGTGGGGAGCTTTTAAAGGATGCATGTTTTACAGTTTTGTATCCAGTGGTGAATAGAAAAATGTATGATTATTAGTGTGTACAATATTATGGTTTGATGCTATAAAATGGCACAGGTTTTCCTGTCCAAGTCTGTATCATTTTTCCTCATGTAATTCTCATCAAACAACACAAACAAATTGTTGTTTGATTTTACTACACATTTTGTAAAAGGGTCATTCGTTTTTCTAAGTGACCAAAACTTGCCTTTTTGTCAAGCAAAGAAGAGTTGTTTTTGAGCAACCACTGTGGACACTATGAACATTGAGAAATATCAAACTAAATAATGTTTGGTTTTGTGTTAAATTGTCATTAACTTTTGTATCCGGTAACGGTAATGGTAATGTTCGAGTAGAGTCTCGTAAGCATCGAGTTTTGAAAGGTATCTAATATATCTTTGAATTTTGAATTTTCTTTTGATAGATTTTTTACATATTCAACATTTTTTTTAATGTTCATAAAATTGATTTTGTGCTAATATGATAGGGTATTAAATTATAATTTATGTTCAATAGGTTTGTAAGTAAAAAGTCAAATAAATAAGGTTGAAAATTTACACGCATATTAGAAGCATTTTTTTTAAATTCATGACCTATTAAATACTTAATTGGCACAAGCTTATAAGTTTAAACAATGAATTTATAATTTAATCTTTGTTTTTTTTATAAAAAAAGTGATGATTTTTTTTAAAGAAATTGATCACTATATAAATATTAAAATAAATCAAGATTTGATATCAGAGATCGAAAATGGAGAGAAAAATTAATGCCACCACGAGAAAGCTAGGCCTTGAAAGAAGATAGATTGTGAGATCCCACTTGATTAGTTGGGGAATGAGGGGAATGAGTGTCAATAAAGACGCTGGCCCCAAGAGGGTAGATTGTGAGATCCTACAGGGAACGGAGCACTCAAGGGTAGGAAGTAGATTGTGAGATCCCACGGGGAATGAAGTACTCATTATAAAGGTGTGAAAGTCTCTCCCTAGTAGAGGCATTTTAAAAACCTTGAGGGAAAGCCCGAAAGGGAAAATAAAAAAAATATAATATCCGCTAGTGGAACTTGAACCATTACAAAATATCATATCAAAATGACCTATTGAGAGAGGTAAATGATCGAAGAGATGTGATGTCTTTCTACACACAAGGTAGTACCATGCTTACGTTCTCAAGGGATGAATTGCTCGAATCAAACGCGTCGGTGATCGTTGGGTACATGTCGGTGAAGGACCAAGCAACACAAACGCTCAGAGGAAGTAGAGGAAGGAGAGAAAGAGGAATCCTTCACAGCATTGCCTCCAAAAGGATATGGGAAAAAACAGTAAATTTCTGATCTCTAAAGGATAAAGAGTACAAATCTAAACTTGACTTTGTGTTTCTTGAGACTTCATTTGGTAAGCCAGAAGCATACAATTTAGCTGTAAACACCCTATAAAAAGAATTGTAATTATAGTAGTAATCACAGAGAACATACTGTAGAGAGGGAAGAGGTTAGAGAAGAAACAGTACATAACGTTGAAGACGATATCATCATTGGAACTTGCTCGGTAGGAGATCGAGACGGGGTCGGTATTGAAGATGACCTACTGCAAGTTTTGGGCGAGAGGACTCCACATTTGATGGCTTTCTTTGCAGAGCAGTGGGAAGGTGGTCGAGACGAAGGCTGTATATCGTCATTGGAACTCCGTAGAGGAAAGTCGAGACGGTATTAAAGATGGCCTCCTTAAGTTTCTCAGCTCTCTCCACTTGAGAGGACTCCACACTACTGGTTTTCTTTGCAATGCAATAACTTTGGGGACACCTTGAGTTGGAGTGCTCCCCATGAACTTGCTACTGCTCCTCATGGCAATTGGTGTTGCCTCTACTGATGTTTGGAACTCTGGTAATGGAGAGAACAACTTTGAGTATCTTGCTTTCCTTGTTGCAAATTCTTGTGGCCCCAAAGTGTGAAGTGGTGTTGTCATGTGAGAGTTCAGCTCCGGACGAAGCGTAGCCATTGAAACCCGTCTCTTAGGTTGAAAAACCTGCGCCGTTGTCGTTGTCGTCGTCGTTGGAATTGGTCTAACAGAAAGTGAGCGTCGTCTTGGTACCAGTAGGCTTCTTGTGTTTGCAGCTGCAGTTGTCATCATTCTGTGGCCATTTTCTTTGCCCTCTGTTGGAGGAGGAGCAGCAGTATTTATGAACGACGAGACACGCCTTTTCTTGGATGGTACGGGTGACGACGTCGTAGGTTGCGGCATGAAATTGGTTATCTTTCTTAGGGGTAGCCTTAGTTTAGAAGGACCTAATGGTGGCTTCTTTTCTGTAACAGTTTTGGGAGCTGCCAACTTTGGAAGAGAGGCAGCGGTAGAAGTAGCAGCAAGAGCTCTACTTTCCTGTTTTATTCTGGCTTTCCTCTCATCTGCTAGTTGACTCTCGAGATCTCGAACCTGTTCGTACGAAGCCAATAACGAATATCTTTTCTTCATAACGAAAATCTTGTAAAAAGTTTGTGCAAGAACTTCAAAATCTTGTAGATTTATTACAAGAACGTGGTTAGAAACTTAAATCTATTACCTTCTCTTGAAGATTCCTGCAATTATGTTCCTTAGCAGTGAGTCTCAACTGCAAGGATTGCACATTATCTTGTAACTTCTTCATTTCCTTCTCGTCATGCTTGGATTTTTCTGCCTGTATGTTAAAAAAATTTGTTAAGAACAAAGTCAAAGCACTGAAAGAATCGAACTTTCCAGTGTTTGGATACCATTTGCTTGAACTTGAACAGCTCTGTGAGATCTGTCTGTTTGCGAGCAGGGGCATTCTCGATCCCTCGAACTCGACTAGCGAAATTCAACGAGCAGAGTGTCTCTCCACCGTCGGCTGAACTTGGACTAACCTGTACAAACATCAGGGTTTTGCAATCTCCTCCTGAACATAGAATTTCCATTAATGCCTAAGCAAATAAGCAATACCAGAGAGACCACTAATTTAAGCTCAGGAAAGAATAAGGATCAAAATAAAGAACTTTGCAGCAATGAAGCCCACCTAAAGAACTTTGCAGCAAATGAGTGAGTTTAGAATTTCTGTTACAAGAAAAGTAAAGAAAACTCAGTCAAATATACCAAAGAACACATTTCCTGGTCAAATAAGAGAGTTGGATGGAGAAATGCCTGTAAGGAACGTGAGCGGTTTTAGAGGCAAGGGCGGAGATGACATCACCGAGAGCGGAAAGTGATTTATTAATGAACTGAGATTCCTTTAATCTTTCGCCATCGACATCGATCCTCCCCACACGCTCGCTACCAGCCAAGTCGACCAGCCAAAGATGACTCTTTGTCCTCTGTCCATTTATAAGACTCTCTCCCTTGACAGTGACTCGCAACAAGCTACATAATGCAATGGTAATTGTTGAATCATCTTGTAAGAACAAAATTTACTCGACAAATGTTGTTTAAGAAAGATCTGGCACACAAAAAGTGTATCTATTTCTTGTAGAACATGTTTTTCAAGGTAAACACATGGTGTTTGGACAAGAACTTTACCAGTGGGATCGGCTGCTTAGCTCATTAGCGCTGGTGGATCCAACAGATCTTGCCCGGCCGCCAGACTTGAGTAGTTCCCACACTTCTTCAGTTCCATAAACTTGAGCTTCAACCAATCCAGGGACTTCCTGTGTTCCTTCTGCTGCTTGCTTAATCTCCAACCTTAAAACGTACCTCATATTAACAATCTCATCCAATATTTTTAACATTATTAATGTGTTTCATTTGAAGTGGTCATTAGTTGATTTTTCAAGTCTAGGAGAAGGAATCTTGCAATCAAACAAATAACAAGTATCTTAGAACACTAATGGAAGCATTAGCTTAATATGATAATTAAATTTCTGGAACCAAAAGCATTCAACCCGCAGATTTTTGTCGTCTTTAGGCTTTCCCTTTTGGGCTTTCCCTCAAGGTTTTTAAAACGCATCTACTAGGAAGAGGTTCCCACACCCTTTATAAAGAATGTTTCATTCTCCTCTCCAACCGATGTGGGATCTCACAATCCAACCCCCCTTCAAGGTCCGGCATCCTCACTGGCACTCGTTCCCCTCTCCAATCGATGTGGGATCTCACAATCCACCCCCTTCGAGACCCAATGGCCTCACTGACACACTGCCTAGTAGTGTCCACCCCCCATCAGGGGCCAATGTTCTCGCTGGCACACCGCCCAGTATCTAGCTCTGATACCATTTGTAACAGCCTAAGCCCACCGCTAGCAGATATTGTCCTCTTTAGGCTTTCCTTTTCGAGATTCCCCTCAAGATTATTAAAACGTGTCTACTAGGAAGAGGTTTTTACACCCTGGTAAAAAATGTTTCATTTTCCTCTCCACTATGGGATCTCACAATCACCATATCCAAATATTCCATGAAAAATTATCAGAAATAGAAAAACAAAAACTCACTTCTTCAGATTTGGGTTGCAGTTGTCTGCCAAGAGGTCCCTTATCTTTTCATTATAAACCTCCAACATGCTGACATACAATTCATATTTCATAACACCATCTCTCTCTTTGGAAATCTTAAACAGTTCCTTCAGAGTCCGGTAGTTGACTCCTCTATTTTCAGGTGTTCCCTCCATAGTAAATGTCTTACCCGTTCCAGTTTGTCCATAAGCAAATATGCAGACATTATACCCATCCATCACTGAAGCTACAACAGGCTTAGCTTGACCGAAAACAGTTTCTACACATTTTGAAAACTTATCATCAATATATGGACTAAGAGTTTACAGTAACTTAAAAATCAGCCACTAATTCTTACAATTACCTTGGCCATCCTCTGTCTTGAACACATGATCAAATTTAAACTGTTTTTTTGAAGAATCAGAAGAAACAACTTGAATCTCATTATCCTGAGATGAATCAAATTCAATCACAGAGGTAGCTCCATTGGTCAATTCGCTTTCATTTAATGGTCTACATCTGCAGAAAACTCTAATATTCCCTTTCAGTTCAATCACTTCATTGTAAAGTCTCCTTCGCTCAGTGACCTCTCCAAGGTATTTCTTCTTTAAAAGTTCATGTTCTGTACCTAAAAGAAAACAAGCAGCCAAGGATTAGTTGCTCAGGAGCGATTAATAAGTCGAAATGATGGAAAGTGGTTGGGTGGTAGAAGAAAGCTACCTAGAAGTTGAAGAGTTTTTACAAATTCAGGGCCTGGAAAAGCATCAGTGTCTAATTTGAATCGTTCAGTTAGGAGCATATGTTCATTCTTCAAATTCTGGAACCAGAAATGAACAAGTGATTCGTCATATCATATATCCTCACAACATAGAGTACAAAAAATGAACTGTACTTACTGCATACAAAGGATTTTTTCGAGGCATTTGGAAAAACAAGACTTCAACTACTTCATACCTCTACTTTGTTGCCCAAGTCAATGACCTTTTGAAGGATTGGAAGTATTTGCGCTCCATCTGGTGATGCTAATTGGGGTTCATCGCTAGATAATCCGCTCTCCATCTTATCCGCATGTTCAAAAGATTCTCTCAAATCAATGTCTGGACAACTCCGAACTTTAGTGAAAATACTACCAACCAGTAGGAACAAACAAGTTTATAGAAAAGATCATCACAAACATTTGAATAGGCCATGAAGGTAGCCAATCCTTTCAATCCTCAGTTTCCAAACCGAAATCAAGATAAACTCAGATGATTGTGTGCAATTAGGAAATTAGTAGGAAGAAACATACAAAGAAAAACAAAAATGGCTCCACAATAGAAAATCCTAATGCTCTAACTGAATGTAAATAGGTCAACTTGATTTCTAATAAAAAGAACGAAAACAAAGCCATGGATTCCGGGTCGAAACAGATCCATGAAAACGAGCATTCTTTTCAAATCGAGACCAAGAAAGAATCGTTAAAAATTGAATAATTAACGAACCTGAACCAGATAATGAAGGCAGAGGCCTCGGATCACAACTAGGAACAATCGGAGGGCATAATTCCGAGACGAATTCTACCGTTGCATCTGAAATTTAAACAACAACTCTTCAAATTAAGAAATCAATCAAATCAACAAACAAATCCGCTCCTTTCCACCACAAAGCCCGCCCCAAAGAGAGAAAGGGTACCATCCATGGATTCGAAGAGAGTGAGGACGTGAAATTTCGAAAGAAATGCCAAGAATTTTGATGAAGAAGAAGAAGAAGCAGAAGAAGTAACAGAGCTGAGTGGAGAGAGAGAGAACAACGGTCACGTAGGGTCTGAGACTGAATTCGGAGAGATTTCAAATGGCCACCGACGCTATTTCAAACGGCTATATATTATTTAAAATGACGTTTTCGGAGCTCCGCTTTTTAAAATCCGACCCGACGGAGCCCCGATTCATTTGAATTATTGTCTTTTTTTTTTCATAATTCCGTTCAATCCTCAAATCTCGACACTTTTAAGTTCCGAAACTCAATATACTTAGTATAAATTCTTTCAAGGCGAGAAGCTTAATCGACATTTTTGGTGTAAATTCTTTCAAGGCGAGAAGCCTAATCTGACATTTTTGTTTACTCAAATCTGGTCAAAGTGATTTTTCTTCGTGTAAATTCTTTGTTCTTCTATTCTGGTTCATGGTTTCTCTTGGCTATATGGTTCATCCGGGGGAGAGATCGAGCTTCAAGAAATAGTAAATGGTCTTCTCAATACACAAATGTATAACTCCCCAGGAATTTCAATTGCGCTTATATTCATCACTGTAGGAATTGGGTTCAAGCTTTCCCCAACCCCTTCTCATCAATGGACTCCTGACGTATACGAAGGAGTGCGGTTCGTTCAAGGCGAGAAGCCTAATCGACATTTTTGTTTACTCAAATCTGGTCAAAGTAATTTTTATAAAACAACATGTAGCGAGTCTACGTTCTCCGTTGAATTATACTTACCAATTATTTATTTTTACTCTAATAACATTTGTTCAATATAAAATAAATAAATAAATAAATAAAACCTTTTTCATAAAATTTTTAAAGGAAGAAATGATTATTCAACCCCTTTCCACTTTCAATAAATATATATATATATATATATATATATATATATATATATATTAATTAGCAAAATGAACAGTCACTACACTTAAAATATCTATTTTAATTATAAAAAAAATAGTAATAATTTTGTTACAAAACGATCACGGGTGACTCCACAATATATATCATCAGCACAAAGTTGGGTAATCAAATTTTGTCTATAATATATATATATAAAGAAAATTCGATGACTAAGAAAAAACATTTTTTAAAAGAATAGATATAGATATTGAGAATATTTTGTCACCTGCATTGGCTTCTTCTTGATTCAGTTCAAGACGAGACTGTAAAATCAAAATTTCAATACCAATCGACTCGTTCGGTCGACGTCTTTGGCTCCCTCTTCGGCTTTCTGTATCGATTATTCTCGAATCTTGATTTCACTATAAGAGAATATAGTAAATCTGACTCTGCGGAATTATCATACGGCACATCCAAGGCACTACACAAACAAAGATGAACTAAACGACCTAGATCCACTGCTAGCAAATATTGTTCCTAGATCCACTGCTAGCAAATATTGTTCCTAGATCCACTGCTAGCAAATATTGTTCCTAGATCCACTGCTAGCAAATATTGTTCCTAGATCCACTGCTAGCAAATATTGTTCCTAGATCCACTGCTAGCAAATATTGTTCTTTTATAAAACACGTCTGTTAAGGGAAGGTTTCCACACCCTTATAAATGGTGGTTTGTTATCCTCCCCAACCAATGTGAGACATCACAATCCACCCCCCTTTGAGGCCCAACGTCCTCGCTGGCACTCTTTCCTTCCTCCAATCGATGTGGGGCCGCCCCCAATTCCACCTCCCTTTTGGGACCCAACGTCCTTACTGGCACACCGCCTCGTGTCTACCCTCTTCAGGGAACAACAAGAAGGTTGGTACTTCGTTTGGGGCCCAGCGTCCTTACTGGCACACCGCCTCGTGTCTACCCCCTTCAGGGAACAGCAAGAAGGCTGGTACTTTGTCCAGTGTCTGGCTCTGATACCATTAGTAACGACCTAGATCCACCGCTAGCAGATATTGTCTCTATGGGTTTTCCCTTTTGAACTTTCCCTCAAGGCTTTAAAACGCGTCTTCTATGGGAAGGTTTCCACACCCTTACAAATGGTGGTTTGTTCTCCTCCCCAACCAACGTGTGACATGACAGTTTTGAACATGAATCTAAGTTGGAATATTTTTGTACCTGTCAAGTAGCTCTTCCAGAATGATTCTTTGCAAAGGTGTTACATAATGTATACAGCTTCTGGGGCATTGGCCAACTGCAATTTGAACCTGATAATCTTCACCGTGTCCTAGTTTATCGAAAATAAATCAAGAAATTGTCGTAGGAATAATACACATTTCATATGTCACTCAAAAAATACTGAAATTATAATTGCATATTATCACTCGAACGTACCTTGAGAAGTCGCCCGGGCTGTCCCGGTGGACGAAGCAAAAGTGAAGACATGGGGAGCTCTGCCTACACACGAATATGGGCAGCCTGCATATTGTTATGACACAACACATGTAGATTATATTGTATGTAACAAAGAACTTAAATTGTAACATTCATAAGTTGGAGCAAAGATAGTACCTTTTCCAACACAAAGAAACTCGTTAACAAAGACATCAAATGCATCACATTCTGGGTTTTCAAAAGGATCTAAACATTCCCTGAGTTCATATGTTTGATTGTGAGAGTTCCATAAAAAATGAACAATAGATATATCACTGAATAGAATGATAGAAATGAACAAGAAACTGAAACTTTCGAATTATAAAATATCAAACCTTTGATCTCCCTAATATAGGGTAGATTTTGAGTAAAAAGTAGTTCATGTAATATCTCAAGCCCACCGCTAGCAGGTATTGTCCTCTTTAGGCTTTCCCCAAAGTTAAAGTTTTTGTCCTCTTTAGGCTTTCCCCAAAGTTAAAGTTTTTAAAACAGTCATATAAATATGCTTCGAGGATTCCACACCCTTATAAATATGCTTCGAGGATTCCACACCCTTATAAATATGCTTTGAGGATTCCACACCCTTATAAATATGCTTCGTTCTCCTCCCCCATCCAATATGGGATCTCACAATCCACCCCCTTTAGGACCCAACATCCTCGCTAGCACACCGCCTCGTGCCCTACCATTTGTAACAACCTAAGCCCTACACGCTAACAAATATTGTCCTCTTTGAGCTTTCCCTTTTGGACTTCTCCTCAAAGTTTTTAAAATACGCTATAGGGAGAGGTTCCCACACTTTTATAAAGAATGCTTCGTTCTCCTCTCCAACCGACATGGAACCTCACAGTTACATACTATCTATAACCTTTTATTTATAAATAAGAATTCGAATATGGTCATTACACAATTTATTCTATGATGAATGCTGCAAGAGTTTTAAGCAGCTCTATACACATTGAGAACAACACCAAAAGCACAACGATACCTCTCAATGAACTCGGTTCGGCTGCAACTGGATAACATCTGCATATTGTAGAAAGCATAGTGATTGTTGAGTTTCATAATTGACTATAACATAGATGATAGAAGTGAACAAGTTCTTCATCAGAACACAAATAGTTCCAGCTTGTTAGTCTCTTGTGATGTCAGCATCGAAACAAGTACTTATGGCTTGAATATTTCATTGTTAATCTTTAATGGTGATCTTTTCCATTCGTAGATTACTCTCTATGCACTTTCTCTCGAAACAACAGAACAATAGTTTTGAATTCTACAATGTAATAAAGGACGCGAAGATAACAATCAAATTAAGGTCATCATAAATGATGATTGCCAGAATGTTCATCCTACCAAAGAAACAACATTTACCAATGAGATAAAAGCACCACGCAATTTTCTTCTTGATACTATAGATGAATAGCTACCTCGTACGCCTGAATTACACGACGAATCATAGAATCGGAATAATTTCCATCTCTATTCACGTCTGGATGGAATTCCTTCACCTGCACGGCCAAAAATCCGAAGCCGAATTGAAAATCGGTACAGAAAACCAAAAATTCTACAATCAACCTAAGTAGCCAATCACTTAATCGCTTCCCAATCATATTCCGAAAACTCAAATCTAAATACTACAATTCGATTTTTCATCGCAACGAGAGAAACCTACGTACTTTAGCTCGAAAAGCGGCTTTCAGCTCGGATTCGGAGCAGGTCGGGTCGACGCCGAACAATTTGTAAGCATCCATAGCATTGGAGAGAGGCGTATCTTCTCCATCGATTCTTTGCCTGCAAATCGTTGCGAATCGAGACTTTGATGAAGAAGGGAAGAGAATCGAGGATTTTGAAATGGTTCGAGAGCCAACGGTTTTCCGAAATGGAAGAACGGGTGGTGCTGAAGTGGAGAAATACAGCGCCTCCATTGTCGGCGTTCGCGGAAGTTGATTTTGTTCCAAATGGATAAATGATATAATATTTTTAAAATCCAAATGGCTAAATGATATATTTTTAAAAAATATTAAAATATATATGTTGGAGAGGGAAACTAACGTCTCATTTCACATAAATGTGTGAAATCCTCTCCTTAATATACGTATCTTAAATTGTTAAAATTGTGAAACTGACGGCAATTCATAACGGGCAAAAGCGGACAATATCTATAGGCAGTAAGATTACAGTTGCAAATGGTATTAGAGCCAATTACCAGATGATGCAAGGCACTAATCGAAGTAAGGCTAGACCCTTGCCATAGTAAACACATTTTAAAACCTTGAAGGGAAGTCTAGAAAGAAAAGATCTAAAGAGAGCAATATTTGCTAGCTACGACTTTAAACGGTTATATATTAAGTATAGTTTACAATATTCGTTTCAACGTATAAAAACTAAGAAAGCTAAGCTTATTCCCTTAATGTTCATAATTTTCATACAAACAGATTCAATTATTCTAAAAAACAATCGTAAAAGTAAACTAAAAACCTTTGAAAAACAGTTCTACAAACAGTGTAGTCAAGAAAAAAGAAAGTAAAGGTGGAGGCTAAAGCCTCACTCCAAGGATTCTCTTAGCTAATCAGTTTGGCATGACCAACAGGGAGAGGGACGAATGAGCTCGACTGAAAAGGATAGGGAGAGGAACGAAGCAGAGACTAGGCAAAAATGGAGTGTGCATTTTGATTGATACTTCACTGTGTGCTTGCCCTACCACAGAACGGAGACGGGCTCATCGAAGGAAGGATTAATACATCGAAGCCTGATTGGGATAGATCATTCATACCTTTATACTTATCCGAGCCTTAACCGAGCAACCTCAATGCTTATCCATACTAGGATTGATCATCTTAATTGCTATAAAATACTCGGACCTTTTAAGTTCAAACCCATTTCAGCATTATGGTGTAGAGAGTACAACAGTTAACAGAGGATATCATTTCTACATCTGATTCAATGGCCATAAATTACACAGCATTCATACATTCTGTCAAACAAAAGCAAAGAATCAGGATTTTGCAATCAGCCGAGTGTTGTTCCACAGCCATTGGCGAGCAGAACCTTCGAGCAATGGAGAAACCTGTACAAACCATATATGAGTAAATTTACTTTGAGAAGTGAAGCCATCCTCATAATCATATTAAAACAGTGAATCTCCAAGCTTCTACAATAATTTTGTCCCCTTTGAACCGAATCTAATCTAAATTTGCATAGTTTTTGTAACGGTCCAGCTCATCGCTAGAAGATATGGTCCTTTTTGGGCTTTCCTTTTCAGGCTTCCCCTCACGGTTTTTAAAACATGTCTGCTAGGGAATGGTTTACACACGCTTATAAAGAATGTTTCGTTCTCTTCCCCAATCAATGTGGGATCTCACAATCCACCCCCTCTGAGCTCAGCGTCCTCGCTGACACTCATTCCCTTCTCCAATCGATGTGGGACTTCCAATCCACCCCCTTCTGGACCCAACGTCCTTGCTGGCACACCGCCTCGTGTCCACCCCCTTTGGGGCTCGCCTTCTCACTAACACATCGCCCGTTGTCTGGCTCTTATACCATTTGCAATGGCCCAAGCCCACCGCTAGCAGATATTGCCCTCTTTGAAATTTCCCTTTCGGACTTCCCTCAAAATTTCTAAAACATATTTGCTAGAGCGAGAGGTTTCCACACCCTTATAAAGAATGTTTTGTTCTCCTCCCCAACCGACGTGGGATTTTCAATTCTATCCAAAAGGGTTCACACCAATAAAAACAACCTCTTTGATTGGTTCGTGCTCTTCTTCACCTCTTGAGTGGCTACTTGTCATGACTCTAAATCTAATTTTGCATAGTTTTACTTTCAATTCTATCCAAAAAGGCTCACACCAATAAAACCTCCATCTTTGATAGGTTCATGTTCTTCCTCTGGGGACTACTTGTCATGACTCTAATCTAAATTTGCATAGTTTTACTTTCAATTCTATCCAAAAGGGTTCACACAAATAAAAACGTCGTCTTTGATTGGTTCATGCTCTTCCTCGCCTCTTGGGGGACTACTTGTCACGACTCTTAACAAACTTCAGATGTTCTTCCCATTTTGTAAATGTTGATTTCAAGTGGACCTATCTTAATCTATGATCATTGTTCTTAAAAAATACTTTTAGAAATAAAAACAGAAACCTGTTTTGTAAGCTCCAAACAATCGATGCGAAATTAGACAACCAGGATAACTATGGTGGTACGAATGTCAAACCTTTTCCCAGACTTGTGAATGGTAATCATTCAGCCAATTGACTTCCGCAACAGAGAGCAAAGAGATATCAACCATTTTAGTCTGCATAAGAAAACAGGCAAAAAGAAACGTTCAAAACAGGGCGTGGTAGAAAAATATTCACAGGATGTGGATTTCTCTCTGAAGTGAACATATTTTGAAGTAAAAAATTCCAATCAACAGACTGGAGGCAGGCCACTTAGAAGGCTTCAATCATTTTAAACTACAATGATGCAAGCGTTTTCTTTTCCTTTCTTTTTGTTAGAAGAGGAACAAATTTGATTGATGAATGAAATAACGGAGTAGAAACTCCGAACACCTAACACCTAACACCTAGAGGTGAATTATAAGGAAGTTCTCCAATTTGTAATCTACAAAGTAAGACTATAGGCAGAAAAAGGACGTTGCTTTTACATACATGGCATGAAAGAAAATTTAATCCATAAAACTATCAAAAGTAGAGAAAGGGTGTCTTAAAGTTCGTCCATTCCTCTCGCCCCAATGATGATGCAAGCATTGTTTTCACTAAGAAACAAAACCATATCGATAAATTACGACTCAAAATCATAAGAGAACAATGAGGCTTCCTTTAATATCGGATTCCAGTGTGTTTTTTTAAACAAGATATGAACAACTTTTAATGTTAAATCTCAGAATTAATTCGGTAGCATAAATCCTAGTTAGAGGCAAAACAACAGCATAAATCCAGATACATCGGACAGTCCACGTTCTAATGTTTTTATTATTTTCCCTTAAACACTATACCTTGAAGGCCAAGCATAGATGCTCCTATGTTGATTCCTAGAACAACATTGTCATATTCCCTAATTGTTTTTTCTCATCTATTACACATCTGTATAATTTTCATTATTTATGACCAACTTGTTTACCTGAATGGGTACAAACGTGAGTTTTTCAAATCCTAAATATCCAATGCCTCCAAAACAGTTTGGAGTTCTAGCGTCCCTCACGACAAGGAGATTCTGCAGAAGAACACCAAAATCACAAGAAGAACAATGAGAAAAAATGTAAGCAGAAAGCTACAAAAGACCCTAAGAATATTTGCATCTCTGTAAAATGAGTGAGGGAACGTAAACTTGAACATTTTGTTTCTCTACAGCAATCCAAGTAAACAAGATGTTGAAGATGCAAGGATAGTAGAAAAGGGTTTATGCATCAATTCCAATTAACTAGTCTAGTCTAGACACCTAAACATTCTCATTTCATTAGTTTTACCTCAATTCTAATACCAAAAGAGTGGTCTTCATAGTAGCCTGGTTCGTTGCTAACGATCATTCCATCTTGTAAGCCAGTCATATTCCCAAATCGGAAGCTTATACTTTGGGGTCCCTCGTGTACATTTAGTGCAGCCCCTACACCATGGCCAGTCCCTGAAAGACAAGGGGGAGGGAAAAAATAAAATAAAATACCTAATCTAGATTTCTAATCAAGTCAAACTACATTTAAGTGTTTTGCACACAAGAGCATTAATCAACAGAAAGAAATACCATGCCGATAATCAAGCCCAATTTTCCAGAGAGAGGAACGAGCAAATGCATCTAATACGAAACCAGGGGTGTGCTGAGGAAACACTGCTTGATCTAAAGCTATATGGCCCTGCAATTGTTTAATATGTCAGAATGAAGCAAGATATGCCAATGATATCATACACAAAAATGAAACAAGAGGTGGGATGGGAGGTAGGCAGTATAAGATCCACGATAGTTTTAACTTTACGTGTTTGAACAGCAGAAATGATGAGCATTTTTTAGTTGACTAAGTAAGTGAATAAATGTTTTTCAACATCTAACAGAGGTTTTTCGGAAAATAAACAGCCATAATAATAAGTCCTCCATGGAAATCCATTTGGTACAGATGCAATTTCATACATTATTACAGAAAAGTGGCAAATGGAGATTTCATACTTGGAGGACTCTCGTAAAGCACTCTTTTTGATAAGTGGTCGGTTCACCAAAATGTACTGTACGAGTTATATCGGTTGTTCCATCAACATATTGCGCTCCACTATCCAACAGAAAAAGTTTATTTGCATCCACAGCAGAACAATCACTAGGTTCTGGTTTATAGTGTATGATTGCACCATTTGCACCAGAGGCTGAAAAGGCATTACAATAATAAGTAATGAAGCCGAAGAAACTGAGAACAGGACCATTTAATTAAACAACAGATTTTAAAAAAAAAAAAAAAAACGAAATGCATAAGGAATTTTATATACCACTGATAGTATCGAAACTTGTGTCAACAAAACCATCTTGCTTTTTACGAAATTCCAGAAGTTTGTCAGCAACTTCTACCTCCGTTAGTTTGACACCATTGAGAATTTCCTCCTCAAACCAGGACCAGAATTGAGCAAGAGCAGCAGCATCTCTACACAGAAAATATTGTACCACATATTAACTAAACAAAATAACTAGTTTTAGGTACATTAAGAGCATTTGCACTAGTGTTGAAAAATAAGAATGATTAGCGAATAGTGCATATCCAAAATGGATAAGTTGTAGGCTAGCTGGTCATTAGTTACCATATCAAAAGTGATTTCAAATGTTGTGACATATTTGCTACAGTATTACACAATCAAGGGCAAAGGAAAATGTTGATGACAGATCACAATGTAACCTCAAATGAGAGTTCCGCATCCCTTCTAACTCAGCATGATTTTTTACGGCCTTCGCTATTGAAACGGGAGATGACTTATAGACTCCAGTAGGTCCAACCT